GCTACTCTGTGTATGATCCCGGCTTGATCCTGACCTTGTTCCTGTCTGCTGCTACTGTGTGTAGGATACTGACTTGATCCTGACCTTGTTCCTGTCTGCTGCTACTGTGTGTATGATCCCGGCTTGATCCTGACCTTGTTCCTGTCTGCTGCTACTGTGTGTATGATCCCGGCTTGATCCTGACCTTGTTCCTGTCTGCTGCTACCCTGTGTATGACCCTGGCTTGCTCCTGACGTTGCTCTTGTCTGCTGTTCCATATTGATCCTGGCTCTGGCTACTGACTACTCTACCCTTCCTCCGGGATCCACGTGTTCTATGGAGAAACTCCTCCTACAACTGGAGCACACACGGGCTCCATCTCATCAGGCATTTCCAAGTAGCAACGCCACTGGCAACCTGTGCTTCTTCGGGCACTGCACCTCCTGTTTCCACCTCCAGGGGCGCACTGCACTTAGCCGTAAGGAGAGCCCTCTCTCTTTTGCAGCCTCTGGTCAGGTACGTGACAGAAGCCCTTTTGATTTGTTTGTGCTGTACTACAGGTTACTTTTTTTGGAGGTAAAGATGGCAGAAAAAGGGCAGACTTGTGTAAAAGTTGTCCACGTAGAGGTGGTACCCTTTTGAAAAAGTGGAAATACAAGGTCCCCATAATTTTTTTCACTGGTCCCCATATAGGTTGGGCAATCATGGGGCTCCAGCTGACTATCTTTCCCTTCATAAACATGGAAGGCATACATATACCCTGTATAGACTTTGTATAGATTCACCCCATATCTGTTCCTTTTACAGGGGATGTACTGTTTGATTCCCAGCCTGTCGGTAAAATGGATGAGAGACTCATCAATGCAAATATGCTTCTCAGGAGTATACAACTGAGCAAATTTCTGGGAAAAAAAAAAATATAAATGGAGGAATTTTGTAAAGTTTATCATATCCAGGATGATTTTGGGGAGGGCACAATGCATTGTCACTAAAATGAAGGAAATACATGATCATGTCATAGGGTGCCCTTGACATAACAGATGTATACAGTGGCATGTAATGAATATGTTTGTAGACCAGTAAGCGTGTCATTTATTATTGTAAGTCCCATGTTAAGTGTGAGACCCAGAAATATTTTGAATTCTTCCACTTTGACAGGACTCATCAAATGGATGGTCATACTATGAATTTGGGTTATTCATGATGTATTTCTGGGCAGAAAGATTGCTAGGTACAATTAAATGGAATAAATCATCATTGAAAAATAGTTAAAAAAACAATTGGTGTAAATGTTTTGATGTTGGCCTGAATTCCTGGCTGTGAAGTAAAAGGGGGATGGAAGCTGATGCTGATTAACGGCATTCATGACCACCCTATAGCACAAATACTGCTACATGGCGGCACGGGTGTATAAAATCACATATATATGTGTGGTTTTGCATTTCTAGGTAGGGCCCATTCATGGCCACGGCTGTCAATCACCGGGTCCAGGCTGAAGATTACTCGCTGGTACCCTGTGATTGCCGAGCATCTCCGACGGGGAGGAGAACTGTTTGTAAACAGTTCTCCTCCCTGTTAGCTTGTGTGCACTGCTTTATACAGCAGTGTGCTTACAGTGAAACACACGGACACAGACACAAGAAAAACAGTACACAGCACACAGTTAACTCTTTGATCGCCCCTCATGTTAAGCCTTTCCTGCCCAGTGCCATTAGTACAGTGTCAGTGCTTTTTTTTAGCACTGATCACTGTATTGGTGCCACTTGGGATGTCAGTGACACCAAGTCAGTTGCCCCCAGTGTCTGCAGCAGCTGACAGCCAGCAGGAGGGAGAGGAGAAGAAGCCAACTTTTAGCTGTGACAGAAAGAGTCATTCAGAGGAGTGGTTCCAGTCATTACCCCCACCATGCTGATCACCCTCCCTACCCACATCCAATTCAACCAGCTGTCTGGACCCTCCTGCTGGCCTGGGCCCCATACAGGAAGACTGGTGGTACCCCCCTTATCCACTACCCCTGCTGATGATGGCTGCACTGTTGTAACAGATAGGATTGCTGATCAGAGCACTGATGAGGGCTGCACTTAGGGTGACAAGTAGACTGGCTGATCAGAGCACTGATGAGGGCTGCACTGGGGTGACAAGTAGACTGGCTGATCAGAGCACTGATGAGGGCTGCACTAGGTGGCAAGTAGACTGGCTGATCAGGGCACTGATGATGGCTGCACTTTGGTGACAAGTAGACTGGCTGATCAGGGCACTGATGAGGGCTGCACTGGGGTGACAAGTAGACTGGCTGATCAGGGCACTGATGAGGGCTGCACTGGGGTGACAGGTAGACTGGCTGATCAGGGCACTGATGATGACGGCATTGGTGTGACATGCAGACTGGCTGATCAGAGCACTGATGACGGCTGCACTTGGGTGACAAGTAGACTGGCTGATCAGAGCACTGATGACGGCTGCACTTGGGTGACAAGTAGACTGGCTGATCAGGGCACTGATGAGGGCTGCATTGGTGTGACATGTAGACTGGCTGATCACGAATATATGCTGCTGTGATATAAAGTGCAGCGTAAGCATTTTAATTAATCATCACAAGACCATCCATCTGCTCATGTGGCTCCTGGGGGACAGCTCCACTCCTTCCTCTTTTGCAGTATGAGACTTGTATCAATGTGACACTAAAACAAATACAATTATCTAGTGTAGTACTCTTTTGTGCAATACAATCCAACACCCAGACATAGGTGACAATCCTTGATACAGTGTGTGTACAAAACTCCGCCACGCACATAAAATGTGCGCTCACCGCCAATGTGTGCTGCTCATGATATTGCAGCAGATAATGCATCAGAACAAATTGGAGCGCTGGCATCAATCTTCTCTCCCATCAACTTTAATCACATCTCCATAGGGGGCACTGTTCCACTAAACACCACCACAAGGCAACCAAAATAAAACGGCATATAGTGTAGTATTTGTTACGAACCAAACATAGCATCATAGTGAAGTCACATAAAATCAATAATAAAAACAGCTGCTCTAACATTTCACACCGCCACTTCGGAAATCGGATTGGCGGTGCGATAACTCGCCTAACACGTTTGTCACAAGTGTGCATCCTCAGGGGTCTCTAGAGTCCCCTAGCGGCCAACCTGTATATGTAGCCTACTCACAGAACTCCATTTTTTTTTTAAATTATGGAACTGTCATCTTATTATGGTTTTATAGTACAGAGTGTAATGTTGGTTCTTGCTGCTTCTCATGCCCTGAGTGAATCATGTGCAGATTGTATTTAAAATGCATAAATTATTATTATACAGGATTTATATAGCCCAACAGTTTGCGCAGCGCTTTACAATATAAGGGAGACAATACAACAACAATACTGTTAGAACCCGCCAGGTGGTGCCCCTGGCTGCCCACTTGACAGACCTACCCAAAGCGTGGAGTCTAAGTCCCGGTCTGTGCTTTCACCAGGGTCCCTGATGGTGGGGATGGACTTGAAACAGACCGGGACCAGGTCACGACCTCCGAGCAGGCCCACCAGTGGCAGGGGCAACCTCCGGGGATGTATTGGTACCGGGAGAGCCAGATGTGAGGAGGACGGCAGGACCTAGCAGGATGGATCACGAGCGGGGGTCCCGTGGGGTAGGCGAGGTACAGAATCGGCAGGCGGAGAGTAGTCAGGTCACACGCAGGGTCAGCAGGCTAAGTCAGTCCGTAGAGAGGTCAAAACAAGCCGAGGGTCAGGATGGGAGAAGCAGAGTAGTCAGGTACAATCCGGGTCAACACAGGAGTAGGCAGCGTAGTCAGGGTCAATCAGGGTCAAAAACACAGGTACAGGACTCAGGAACTCAGATAGACCTTGCGGCGATTACTGACAGTGCAGGGCATCTTTAAATATTGCGCCCTGCACTGTCATTGGCCGCTCGGGACGCGCCCCCGGGCTGTCATTGGCCGCCCGAGGCGCGCCCGCGGGTCCCACTGCGCATGCGCGGCATCCTGTCATCCACGGCTCGCCGGGACCTAGTGCCTGTGTCCCGGCGTGAGCCGTGGCCAGTGCGCATGCGCCGGCCGACAGGACGCCGCGATCCCTGGCAAATACATTTCAGTACAGAAGGAATGTGAGGGCTCGTGGAGCTTACAATCTAATCAGTGGCAGGCAGTGTAAATTCATTGCCACATCAAAGGCTCAAAGAAGCTACTGAGAATTTGTATTTGTTTTAGTCGTATTATCACTATAAAACATTATGCCACTGTGAAATAAAAAGACAACCATGCATATACAATACAGGCCAAGGTAATTAAAGAATGAACCTTTTGTTTTTTATTATTAATATATGTATTTTTCTTCTGAAAACTCTTTATAAATTGCTAATTACTAACTTCACATCTCTAACCTCATATATGTTTTTTCTAAATATAAATAATAATAAATCTCATGAGAACATCACTGAACATAGATCCCCAGTGGATCCATGCAATTAATTTTGCTTCTATTTAAAAGCTTCAATACCCAGCATGATCAGAAAAGCATTTAAAGGACCAACATTTACAGCTTTCTCATTTTGAACCATCCTTTCACTCTTTAAAACATTGTATTTGACTCTGCTTCACAAATGTTACCCATTAATTTTAATATTCTATCTTCAAGTTATGGAGAACAATATGACCAGAATTTCTACAATCCATCTCTTAGGTTTTCACATCCCATCAAATGTTAAATTGTTGGTGTTTTTTATTTTGTTTATGCTTTATTGTGTGACAATATGTGGAAACCTCCTGATCATCACACTGGTGTCCTACAGCAAATCCCTCCAGTCTCCCATGTACTTCTTCCTCTCCCAACTCGCTATGTCAGATATCATACAGGCAACTAATATTATTCCTAGCACGTTCCAAGCAGTTTTGGTGAATGATGCCATGATGTCATTTTCTGATTGCCTCTCCCAGTTTTATTTCTGTTGTGTCACAGTAATATTGGACAGCCTTCTTCTAACTGTGATGTCTTATGACAGATATTTGGCCATCTGTAAACCATTACATTATAATTTGACAATGAACCCCGATCGTTGCTGTATATTGATTATTATCTGTTGGACTTTAAGTGTTTTAATTGTGGTGGTGCATACTTTCAATGTAGCTCAACTGCAGTTTTGTGGTCCCAACACAGTTGACCATTTTTTCTGTGATCTGGATCCAATTCTTAAACTTTCCTGCTCAGATACTGCAATTATTCAACTAGAAGTAACATTGTTGACTGCTTTCTTTGGTATCATCCCATTTGTCTATATCATTGTATCATATATTATTATCATAGCCACTATTCTTAAAATTCCCTCCATTACTGGAAGGAAGCAGGTTTTCTCAACATGCAGTTCCCATCTGACTGTTGTCTGTATCTATTACGGAAACATAGCTTGTGTATATTTGGTACCCAGTGGAGGACAGTCCGGGAATATTACTAAGTTCATGTCACTATCCTATACTTTATTCACCCCATTGATAAATCCAGTTATATACACTTTAAGGAACAAAGACCTGAAAAAAGTTTTAAATAGTTCCTTTCACAAACTTTGTTTGAAAATTGCTTTTATCTGAATTAGTCAAGTAAAATATAATGAAATACAAATGTCTTGCTTTTAAATTACCAAAATGATTATAAAAAATCTTACAAACACTTTAAAATAGAATTCTGGGCTTATTTTTTATTATTATTATTATTATTATACAGTATTTATAAAGTGCCAATAGTTCGCTCAGCGCTGTACATTACAAAGGGGGGACAGAACATGTGACAGAACAATACCAATACAATGCAAAACATGAGGGGATTGAGGGCCCTGCTCTTTCGAGCTTACAATCTAGGAGGGAGGGGATGGTGGCACAGGAGGAGATAGCTGGGGGGGATGGAGTGGTAGGAAGAGTGGAGGAGGTCGGCAAGTTAGCAGGGGGTGGGGTAGGCTTCCCTGAAGAGGTGGGTTTTCAGGGTGTGCCTAAAGGAGAGGAGAGTAGGTGATAATCTGATGGGTTGGGGCAGGGAGTTCCAGAGGATGGGTGACACCCTGGAGAAGTCCTGGAGGCGGGCATGGGAGGAGGAGACCAGGGAACTAGAGAGAAGGAGGTCTTGTGAGGAGCGGAGTGTGCGTGTTGGGTGGTACTTGGATATTAGGTCAGTGATGTAGTTCGGGGCAGTATGGTGGACGGCTTTGTACGTCAGTGTTAGGATTTTGAATTTGATCCGTTGCATAATTGGAAGCCAGTGGAGGGATTGGCAGAGGGGGGTGGCGGAGACAGAGCGGTTGGAAAGGTGAATGAGTCTAGCAGCCGTATTCAGGATGGACTGAAGCGGGGATAGCCAGCGGCGAGGCAGGCCAGTGAGGAGGGAGTTGCAGTAGTCAAGTCGTGATATGATGAGGGAGTGGATGAGCTGTTTAGTGGTTTCTGGAGTTAGGAACGCGCATTACATTTTTTTTGTATCTTGTTGCTGGTATCTCTGTAAATTTTCCATTGTCTTTACTTTTTATTGTAAAAAAAAAAAAAGTAATACATGTCTCTTTATCAATACAGCCTGCTCTGTACCTTTGGCCTCACCAACACCAGGGCCATTGTAATTCTAATATTTTGTATTTGGTGTCTCATTGTAGATACATGAAAGCCACAATTGTTAAGTATTATTACATATTTGTACCTCATAACTCTTAAAACTTTGCTAAATCTTTATATGCACATGGAAATTAGCTTAGTAGGCAACAAATGATCCCTTTAAATCTAACTTGTTGAAGGGGAAATTTGTGGAATATATAGTTTTAGATCTAAAATTCCACTAATGTCCACATTTTTAAGGAGCAGTTCTACATTTTCCTCTTGTAGCTTAAGGAGCAAAATATAATATTTCTGTACATTTTATGTTTTTACCGATACATCTACCATCAGCCTAGAGCTGGTACTAGGGGTAATAGGAGGGGCGGCTGCCTTGGGCGGGGATTTAGTGTGTATAGTAGTGGAAGAGGGAACTGACCTGGAGCGGTGGTTTTTTATTTTGTTCCATGGACTCTAATTGTGTAGTGTGGTTGACTGTTATCTGAAAAAAAAAGACAGACTTAAACTATTTTTGACTTTTTGCTATTAAGCATGTCCAGTAAAAAATTAAAAAAATCAAAGTTTGTCATAAATTTGGGCCAAAATGTATTCTGCTACATAGCTTTGCAAAAAAAATCCCAATACATGTAAATTAATTGGTTTATGTCAAAGTTATAGCGTTTACAAATGGTGGTATATACATCGGTGGGCATTCTGACACTGAGGGGGGGGGGGAAACTGATTTGGTGTCACTAACATCCCCAGTGACACCAATACAGTGATCAGTGCTAATAAAAAGCACTGACGCTATACTAATGGCACTGGGCAGGAAGGGGTTAACATCTGGGGCGATGAAAGGGTTAACTGTGTGCTGTGTGTTTTACTATGAGGCTGTGAGTGTGCTTTCCACTGTAAGCACACTGCTTTGTATGGCTTTGCTATGCAGATCCATACAAAGCAGTGTGCAGGAGCTGACCGGGGAGAGAACTGTATGGTTTACTTACAGTTCTCTCCCCGGTCGGTAATACTCGGCGATCACTGGGTGCCGGTGAGTAATCATCGGCCGGGACCTAGTGATTGAGGGCACGCTCTCGACTCGTGCAAGCTCCCTACCTGATGATGCAAAGTCACGTATATACGTGATTTTGTGCACCCCTGCCACCCTCTAGCAATATTTCTATTATAAGGGGTGGGAAAGCTGTTAACCTCCCTGGCGGTATTCCCGAGTGTAGCTCGGGGTAAAGTTTCAGCACAACAAGCGGTAACCCCGAGCTACACTCGGGAATACACTGCAGCGTTGCTCCGGAATCCCTTCTGCACTTACCGTGTCCTGAGCTCTCGTGATGTCCCCCCTGCAGTGTCCCCGGTCATGTCCTCTCCCCGATGCCGGCATCCGTCTTCCAGGTTCCGTTCCCTGCGATGTCGGGACGTACGGGGGACGGAACCGGCAGGAAGATTAAAAAATGTCAAAAAGTGACATTCACTAAATACACTAAAATCACATAGTATAACATTCCTGTATCAAACCATTTCACATACATTTTGTCCCGAGTGCTTTGTCCGGCGCCCTGCCTGCATTATTACTGTTCTTTCTGCCTGGAAACTGAGAAACGTCCATGGCGTCCAAAAAGCGTCCCTTTATGTCAGACGCGGTTTTAGACCGGCTAGAGAACAGCGATAGTAAATCAGAACCACTTGCAGAATTGAGTGATAATGATTCGTGGGGGAAATTCATCATCAGACACTGAAAACAATTCTGCGATTGAGCTCAGCGATGTGCGAACTTGGCGCTCTATTTCACATTTCAGAGTTTTTGGTTTGATTATATTATTGAATTAAATTTATTATTATTATATTATTATTTTTTATGATTATTTATTAAATTATAATTTATGATTTCGTGTATCAAATGGTATCATACCCGGGATGTTTACTAGACTCTTGTTCGGACAGATTTCAGTGAGGTATTCCTAAGAATTACAGGCCTACAATAAAAAAAATACATATTTCCATGCAAAAAAATGTACCACTTTGAGCACAGGAATATGGACATAATCAGACCGCTAGGGAGGGTAAAGAATCCTGGAGCAACGTCATATAAACTTGGAATATAAACTTCAGATATTTAATCTGAAAACCACTAACCTGTGTATTGCAACAAATCCCCAGCAGATATATATTTACAGCACTGCCTTCCTTTTTCTCCACTACTTTGTATATACGACCTCTGCCTTTACCCACCCTGCAACCACACATACACAATATGTTCTCTATATACCTGCTTCAAGCAAAGCCCCCTTCTTTGCAAGCCAACTGCTCCCCATGTTAATGGAGCAAGGACCACATTTCCACATCATGTTCTCCAAATTGGACATGGGGGCTCTGGAGGGGCATATGGGAATCTGGACCTTCAGACTAGGAGTGTACCCAAATATTCACCCATGAAAGAGTACAGTGTACATATTACTCACACAAATTAAGCACTTCAATCCCGGGCACCCCTTCCTGCCCAGGCCAATTTTCAGCTTTCAGTGTTCACACACTTTGAATGACGATTGAGCAGTCATGCAATTCTGTACCCAAACTAAATTTGTATTATTTTTTTACATAACTAGAGCTTTCTTTTGGTAGTATTTAATCACCACTGGGGAGTTTATTTTTTTACTAAATTAACAAAAAAACACTGAAAATTTTGGAAAAAAAAACAAATTTTCTTTGTTTCTGTAATAAAAGTTTGCAACAAAATAACTGTTCTTCATAAATTTAGCCATTTTTTTGTCATAATTTTTTTTTGAAAATTAAGAAATTTTCATATTTATTTTTTTACATAATCTCACCAGTGCAGTACAGCATCATCATATAACTGGTATGACGGTGATCAGGGACACTGACTGGTGACAGTATGAAAAAAAATTGACAATTTTCTTAATGTGTTTTATTTTTTTATTACATTTTTTTTAAAGATTTGTTTTTCATATTACACTATGCCCAAAGTAGTATAATGTTACCATAGTAACATTATACTACTTTGGGGAAGTGATCAGTATTTGTTTTTTTTTACACAATATGATTGCTTATAGCAAAGAATTTATTTGCTATAAGCAAGCATTTAACTGAATGAAATTGATTAATTCAGGGTTTTTTTTTGCTGCGATTAGCTGTGATTGGCCACAGCTAATCACATGAAACAGATGGGCTGTGATTGGCCCAGTCTGTGCATGTGATCACTGTGACCAATCACAGTTAGTGACACAATTGTGTACAATGGATGGCATGAAAAGAAGCCACCCATTGTTTACAATTATCATGTGACCTGCTGCGATTGGTCACAACAGGTCACATAGTACTGGCAACGGGGCCAGTACACAGATCTGTCAGTGGCTGTGTCCAAGGTACGCAGCCGATGACAGATCTTGCCATAGCGTAGCCCAGCAGGCATGCAAGAGGCGTGATCCAGGAAGGTCATCATATGACTCCCACCCGTATCGACAAGCGACCCACTCTGCCGTCATTTTCCTATTGACCAGGTGGGAACTAGTTAAATAGTAAATAAAAAATATCCACACCATTGAAAAAGTTCTTTGTTGTCCCCTTATGTCCCAATCACAACATTTATCCACAACCCCATATTTGTAGTGGTTGTTTTGGAACCCTTTTGTTTGGAGCAGATGGATATCCCCAAGCCTTTACCATAACTCTGATTTGGTGACTCCTACAGGAGTCTTTAGCTTTGCTTTCATACGAAGCGCTCACAAAGCCCCAGTATATATATATATATATATATATATATTTCAATATTCTGATATCTTCAGATCAAGAATTTTGTTGCTCACACTATCAAGCAATTGTTCTCTATTCAATGCTGATAATACTTTAACATACTTGAATATATGATCCTGTCTATACACTCCCTGGCCTCTTGTTAATTACACCTTGCTAGTGCCAAGAAGATCTCCCCCACACCATGACACCACCACCACCAGCCTGAACCATTGATACAAGGCAGGAGGAATCCATGCTTTCATGTTTACGCCAAATTCTGCCAAAGTCAGCCCATTCTCCTCTGACCTCTGACATCAACAAGACATTTTTGTCCATACAACTGCCACTCACTGGATATTTTCTCCTTTTCGGACCATTCTCTGTAAACCCTAGAGATGGTTGTGCATGAAAATCCCAGTAGATCAGCAGTTTTTGAAATACTCAGACCAGCCCATCTGGCACCAACGATCATGCCACGTTCAAAGTCACTTAAATCCCCTTTCTTACCCATTCTGATGCTCAGTTTTATATTGGAGTATAGCATCAAGTCAAATAAACTTTTGGAATATTGATCTGGTCAGGTAAGTAGCAGAGGGGGTTGTTATTCAGTTTCAGCTGCTTTGGTGTTAATGAAATTAACAACAGGTGCACTAGATGGACAACAATGAGACAACCCCCAAAACAGGAATGGTTTTACAGGTGGAGGCCACATATATTTTTTTCCCTACTCATATTTTCTGACTTTTTTTCATACATTTTGCATTTCTCTAGAGTCAGAGTCAGTGTCACTGACTGCCAGTCACTGACTGGCAGTGTCACTGACAGTGTCACCAGTGTACTGGTAGCATGAGGTGATACCTGGACCCTACAGAGGTTGCACAGGCAGTCCAACTCCTCCAGGATGGCACATTAATACGTGCTAATTACAGAAGGTTTCAAGGCGATGGAGGAGATTCCAGGAGACAGGTAGTTACTCTAGGAGAGCTGTACAGGGCTGTAGAAGGTCCTTAACCCATCAGCAGGACTGGTATCTGCTCCTTTGTGCAAGGAGGAACAGGATGAGCACAGCCAGAGCCCTAAAAAATTAGCCCAGCAGGCCACTGGTATGAATGTCTCTGACCAAACAATAAGACACAGACTTCATGAGGGTGACCTGAGGGCCTGACATCCTATAGTAGGCCCTGTGCTCACTGCCCGGCACCATAGAGCTTAACTGGCATTTGCCATTGAACAGCAGAATTGGCAGGTCCACCACTGGCACCCTGTGCTTTTCACAGATGAGAGCAGGTTCACCTTGACCACATGTGACAGACGTGAAAGGGTCTGGAGAAGCCGTGGAGAACATTATGCTGCCTGTAACATCGTTCAGCATGACCAGCATGACCATTTTGGTGGTGGGTCAGTGATGATCTGGGTAGGCATATCCCTGGAGGGATGCACAGACCCTCCATAGATATACAGACTAGACAATGACACCCTGACTGCCACTAGGTATCGGGATGAAATCCTTGGACCCATTGTCAGACCTTACACTGGTGCAGTGGGTCCTGGGTTCCTCATGGTGCTCTACAATGCCCGGCCTCATGTGGCGTGAGTATGTAGGATGAAGGAATTGATACCATTGAACGGCCCCCATGCCTCTGGGATGTCATGTTTCGGTCCATCCGACATCGCCAGATTGCACTTCAGACTGTCCAGGAGCTCAGTGATGCCCTGGTCCAGATCTGAGAGGAAATACCCCAGGACATCGTCTGGCATCTCATTAGGAGCCTCCCCCGACGTTGTCAGGCATGCATACAAGGACATGGCATACAAGCACAAACTACTGATCACAATTTTGAGTTGCTGCAATGAAATTTCAGCAAAATGGACTGATTTTCAGAATGTCTTTGAATTCAGTCCTCTGTAGGTCGATCATTTTCATTTCCATCAAACGATGGGGCGTCCTTACGTTCCTCACCCATCACCCCGTCCATGTCAGTATAGAGATCCAGCAGGAGATTTTCCCCCATTGAGATCTGATGGGTTTTCAAAGCAGTCCTGTAATTTTTTTGATCCGTGTACTTAAATCAATGTCAGGCAGTGTATACAGTTACAGTGCTACATGAAAAGGCTGAAGGAAGCATCTGGGCATTATTATTATTATTATTATTATTATTAATAATAATAAATATTATGCCACTGTGAAATGATTATGTAATTAGTTAAGTACAAATGCAATATAGGGAAAGGTAATTGGAGGAAAAAAAACATTTGATATATTCATTAATCTGTTTATTTTTCTTAAAACTATTTTAAATTACTAATTGCTAATCTTACATCTCTAACCTCATTAATGTTTTCTCTAAATATTATTGGTAATAAAGTCCCTTGAGAATATCACTGGCATAGATCCCCAGTGGTTCCATGCAATTAATACTTTTTCTTTTTAAAAGCCACAGTGCCCAGCATGATCAGGAAAGCATTTAAAGCACCAACATTTACAGCTTTCTATGTTTTTTAACCATTCTTTCTATCTTTACTTGATTCAGTTCTCATTGTTTTTGAAGCTGTTTAACAAATGTTACCACTTAATTTTGACGTTCTGTCTTCAGGTTATGGGGGAGAGCAATATGACCAGAATTTCCACAATCCATCTCTTAGGATTTCAGACCTCACAAAATAATACATTTTTGGTGTTTTTTGTTTTGCTTATGCTTTATTGTGTTACTCTAAGCGGAAACCTCCTGATCATCACATTGGTGTCCTACAGTAAAACCCTCCAGTCTCCCATGTACATCTTCCTTTCCCAGCTCGCTATGTCAGATATCATACAAGCAACTGATATTCTTCCTAACACCTTTCGAAGAGTTTTGATGAATGATACCATTATGTCATTTTCTGATTGCCTCTCCCAGTTTTGTTTCTGTGGTACTACATTAATATTGGCGTGTCTTCTTCTAATTGATATGTCTTATGACAGATATTTGGCCATCTGTAAACCATTACATTATAGTTTGATAATGAACCCCCGCTGTTGCTGTATTTTGATTATTACCTGTTGGACTTTAAGTTTTTTCATTATGGTGGTGCATACTTTCAATGTAGCTCAATTGCAATTTTGTGGTCCCAACATTGTTGACCACTATTTCTGTGATCTTATTCCAGTTCTTAAACTTTCCTGCTCTGATACAGCAATTATTGAACTAGAAGCAAGGTTGATAACTTTTTTATTTGGTATCATTCCTTTTATCATTATCATTGTATCTTATATTATTATCATAGTCACCATTCTTAAAATCCCATCTATTACTGGAAGGAAGCAGGTTTTCTCTACATGTAGTTCCCACCTGACTGTTGTCTGTGTCTATTATGGCAACCTAGCCTTTGTTTATTTGGTACCCAGTGGAGGACAGTCAGAGAACATTACTAAGTACTTATCACTGTCCTATACTGTAGTCACTCCACTGGTAAATCCTCTTATATACACTTTAAGGAATAAAGACCTGACCTGAAAAAGTCTTGAACAGTTCCTTTTACAAACTTTGGCTTGTGAATTTTTTCAGAAATAAAAGTTGTTCTTAACCGAATTTGACATGTAAAATATGATGAAATAAAAATCTGATTGTAAAGGGAGATTTTTAAAAAATAACAAACATGTCATACTTACCTGATCTGTACTGTGGTTTTTCATAGAGCAGCCCCGATCCTCCTCTTCTTGGGTCCCCCACTGGTGCCCCTGGCCCTTCCTTCCTGCCAAGTGCCTCCATGGCAAGCAGCCTGCTAAAGAGGCACCTGAGCAGGCTCACTGCTGACCCGTTGCTCCATGTTTCCATTCACACTCAGACATAGCTTGGCCCAGTTCTCTCCTCCTTGGCTCACTGGCTGTGATTGACAGTAGCAGGATCCAATGGCATCAACTGCTGTCTCAGCTAATGAGGAGGGAGAGACCAAGGCTCTTGGGCACATCGCTGGATAAAGATGGGGCTCAGGTAACTATTGGGGGGCTGATGCACACAGAAGGTTTTTTACCTTCATGCGTAGAATGTTGTTGTTTCATTTTTTAACATGGGAAAGTTTTTATTACTTTGGTATAATAAATTATGCATGGTAAATGTGCAATTTTATGGTCGTGGTGTATGAATAATGTGTGAAGCTGAAATGTAATTTCATTGTGAATATGCTTCTACAATGTCAAGATATTTATAAGAAGAAAGTAAATCATATCTCTCATTTGTCTTTACTTTATATTGTAAAAAAAAAAATAATATTAATGCGTATCTCTATATAAATACAGTCTGCTCTGCACCTTTGGCCCCACCAACATCAGAAGGATTATAGTTCAAATATTTGGTGTTTGGTATCTCATTGTAGATAAATGAGAGCCACAGTTGTTAAGTATTATTACATATTTGTATTCAAACTTGCGGGTATGTTTCGGATCATTGTCCTACTGCTTAACCCAAGTGCGCTTGAGGTCACAAACTGATGGCTGGACATTCTCCTTCAGGATTTTCTGGTAGAGCACAGAATTCATGGTTCCATCAACTATGGCTAGTTGTCCAGGTCCACCATGACTGACTGTTGGTATGATGTTCTTTTAAGGACCATCACACTACAACCAGCATGACTGACTGTTGGTATGATGTTCTTTTAAGGAAATGTTTGTTAGTTTTACGCCAAATGTTACAGGATACACACACCTTCCAAAGAGTTCATATTTGTCTCATCAGTCCACAGAATATCTGCCCAAAATGTTTTTTGCCAAAATTGAGATGAGGCTTTGTGTTCCTTTTGGTCAGCAGTCACCTTGGAACTCTCCCATGGATGCCATTTTTGCCCAGTCTTTTTCTTATTGTTGAATCATGAACACTGACCTTAACTAAGGCAAGCAAGGCCTGTAAGTCTTTAAATGTTGTTCTGGGTTCTTTTATGACCTCCTGGATGAGTCATCATTATGCTCTTTGAGTATTTTGGTAGGCCAGCCACTCTTGGGAAGGTTCACCACTGTTTTCTCCATTTGTGGATAATGTCTTTTAACGTGGTTTGCTGTGGTCCCAAAGCATTAGAAATAGCTTTTTAACCCTTTCCAGACTGATACAGTACATATTAATTACATTGTCTCTAGTCTGTTATTGAATTTCTTTAGATTGTGTCATGATGTGTTGCTTTTTGAGATCTTTTAGCATGCTTCACTTTGTCAAATAGCTTCTATTAGGTGATTTCTTGATTCAACAGGTCTGGCAGTAATCAGACCTGAGTGTGGCAAGTGAAATTTAACTTAGCTTTCCAAAAAATGTGGTTACTCACAGTTCATTCATGAGTTAGCAAAGGGGGATTAATTACTTTTATTCCAAATGGAATATAATTTTATGCCTATTATTCCATAATTTTCTATATTCTTTACTTTAACCTCAAGAAGGATAATGTACTGTTTATGTATATTGTATCTGTATTATTTTAAACAAATGGCATGTTTTTATGTACAGTACATTATCTGGCGCACAGATGAACTAGTCCTTAGGTCACATTATTTCAAGGAGATATATTTGGATATATAACAAAAACACTTAACTTTGTATATTTTCATGCTATGCGACACTGAAAAAAGTAGCAAACACAATAAACAAAATTGAAAAAAAATGTAATGATAAATAGAAATAAAATAAAATCAACAGAAAACTAAAAGCCAAGAAAAATAGGGGAGCAAGAAGTTAATTAGGATTAATAAGGGTTAAAAGGGGTTAAATAGTATTTTTGGGGCGGACAGTCTGACACCGGGTGGGAAGTGACTAACTGCCACTGACATCCCAATGACACTAATGCAGTGATCAGTGCTAATAAACAGCACTGACACTGTACTAATGACACTGGGAAGGAAGGGGTTAACATCTGGAGAGATCAAAGGGTTAACAGTGTGCTGTGTACTGTTTTATAGTTTGTGCTGTGTGTGTTTTACTAGGGAGACTCTGCTGTGCAGAGAAATACAAAGTAGTATGTCCTTGCTGGCAGAAGAGAGACCTGTGTTGTTTACACACAGGTCTCTCCCCTGTCAGCTTTCCCTGACGATCGCCAGGTGCCAGTGGGGAATCTCCAGCAAGGACCCGGTGATTGATATTCCTATCTGCCAATGGCGGTGCAGGTAGGGCAGCGTGCGCACGTTCCCTACCCAAAAATGCAAATCACGTATATATACATGATTTGACATTGAAAATTGTGACATTGTCACACATTGCTTTTTTTTTATAACTTTGGTTTTATTGAAAATGTTTGCATGAGTAACAAACATTACATCAGACAAAGTATACTGGTTTTGGACATGAGCACAGACAGTGGGAGGTGAGAGGGTATGACCTCCAACACCTTCCATGGGCCATACACAGGAAGACTATACATGTTCCAAATCCTTTTCTGTATTAACATACATATAATGGTTAATGATACACTTGCCATGAACAATGTAGCTTCACTATCGGATTGGGTCATCCCCGTACAGGGAAAATGCCAATCCCAGTGTCCTATCAGACATACTGTAGAGAAATAAGGAAGAGAAAAGGGAAGATAAGTTAGGCTAGAGAGTGAAGGATGAGGCACTTGTGTGATAAGGAGAGATGTGGAGAAAGGCACAGTAGATACAAAGTGCTGTTCTTAGTGTGGATACCTGACCGTAATGGAAGCAGAGAGTGGCTCTCTATTGGGGTTTGACCAAGAAAAGACCGCAAGCATGATGAAAAATTTATAAAGGAGGGGGGATGGGTTCATTGCAATTGGTGTGATCTAGTATCATTAAGCCAAATTTGCCAGTAGCACAAATATTTTGGTAGAGACTGATGAGCTTTTGCAAAGAGAAATTCCATAAGGCAATTTTTCATTCAAGTTGACTATAACTGAGTGTATTGAGGGGGTTTTGGGGCTTTTTCAAATTTTTGCTATAGAAAGGCGTGCTGCAATGAGAATATGTGTCAGAACAGGGTGAAGTACTGATGGCCAAGTCCAAAGAGAGCCACCTCAGGGGTGAGGTCAGTAGTGATCTTGGTCAAACCCTGAATAAATTCTGATACATTTTTCCAAAAGATACATACAAGCAGGCATGACCTCCACATGTGTAGGAGAGATCCCTCAAGACTTCAGTTCCTCCAACGTTCCGAGGTTGAGTTGGGGTAGATGGCTGCAAGTTTTTCAAGTTAAAGTACCATCTGTGGTAAATTTTCATAGCGGACTCCCAGTAGGAGGTATTTCTAGAGAAAACAGAGGGTATACAGAGAGCGTGGTACCACATGGAGGTAGGAACCTCAATTTGTAGACTTGTTTCCCAGTATTCCATAGCTGGAGATTTAGAGCTGTGCAGGCTTAGCGGAATTGTAGAACATTAGAAGATCTCTTGTTATGGTAGATGTTGCAATGGAAGCTTTGGAGAGGATGTGTCGTATGCATAAGTATATGCAGAAGTCTTTATTACTCAATTGGAATTTGTCAGAGATCTATTGAAAGGATAGGAGGCCTTGGTTTGAGAAGAGGGTCCCGATCTTTTGCATACCTGCAGCGACCTAGTGGTGGAGAATTATATCCGGGGAAAGTAGTTGTAGTGATAATAATGGTATATTGTGTAGAGCTTTGGGATGTAGGCCGTTTGAGGATTGTAAGAAGGAGGTCCAGAAGTTGGTGGTGGCTCAAATAGTGTGTAAGAACAAGCGAGGAAATTTTTTGTCCCAGCCAAAGAGCACCTAATATATGTTCGGGTTCTGAGTCAAGTGCAGTTGTTTTGATTTAGAGCCAGGGGATTTGAGGGTTTGAGGTCCACCAATTTTTAGTTTGGTTTAGAATAGTAGCCTTTTTAGTATTTCTTGACATCCGGAGCTCCCAATCCGTTGAGAGTTTTAGGAGTACGTAGTGTGGAGGCTTTTAATCTTGGCTTTTTGCCCGCCCAAATGAAGTGGTTGATAATGGACTGTAGCTTTTGTAGATCAGATACTAAAATAGGAATGGGCAAAGTCCTGAAGAAGTAGAGAAGGTGAGGTAGTAGAAACATCTTGGCGAGTGCTATACATCCTGCCCACGAAGCCTTGATGGTGGTGAGGTCTTGGCTGAGACTTTGAAGTTTAATGACTAATATAGATAGATTACTTCACAGGAGATTAGAGAAGGGAACGATGAGTTGGATACCCAGGTATGTCATGGAGGAGTTTGGTGCCCAGGCGAAGGGGGAAATCTTGGTTTTGGCCTCTTTAGTATCTGTTGGTAAGGAGACTCCCAACATTGCAGATTTGGTGTGGTTGAGTTTATAGAGTGAGATTTTAGAGAAATGATCGAGGAGTGAGCATAGGTGGGGCAAGGGATGTTCTGGTTCTGTCAAAGATATAATAATATAGTCAGCGTATAGACCTATTTTATGTGAAGTGTGATTGACTTGTATTCCTGTGACCTGTGGGTGGGTATGTATGGCCTGTGCCAAGGGTTCAATCACCATGGCAAAGATCAAGGGTGAGAGAGGATTTCCCTGGTGTGTGCCATTTGT